TTTCAAGCTTTGTCAAAGATTGAAGAGGGTTTTTAAACCTCTGAGTTTTTTTTTTGCTATGACTTGATGGGCAAATGGGCCTAGATTGGCGGGTTAAACTGTCCTAACCTGAGACAATTTGGTGCCTTCCCTTCTAGGTCAATTCCAGGACATCCCTTCTAAACAGTATTTTAAGCTTTATCAAAGTTTGGAGGTGGTTTCTAAACCTCTGGAATTCTTATGCTGTAACATGGTGGGCAAATGGGACTAAGTGGATTTTTAAGATCCCAGTACAACTTATCATAATCTAAAACATTTTACGGGCTTTGTCAAAAATTGGAGGTGGTTTCTAAACCTCTGAGTTCTTCTACGATAACACGATCGCCGATATAACCTAATCTAACCTAGCTTAAGACATAGCTGATGTTAAAATATAAATAACAACAACTTTCAAAATATTTTCCTCTTTCTTTCCAAATATCTCAAGTATATTTCACACTTTAAAAATTCATGCTAAACCATACATTTTAAACTTTACTCAAAGACTGAAATACCTAAAGTAACCAATAAAAAAATTTGCAAAACTATTTAGAAAATCTTCACATCATTCCATTCCAAGCTTTCCTTGTAGCTAAACATTTTATAGCTTTTATTCTAAAAAATAAAACAGCAAATGTATCTAGTACACACATACGCCTAAGTCGCCGTTTGTGATAAACTTCTATCGTAAACTCCTCAACCATTTAAAGAGTGTTTATGCAATCATTGGAACATTGTCGGTTCATGTATCCATTATTATCCTCAGAGTCATAACGCACAATCCACACTAGCAATGCCGCCCTGCAGCTATAATCGTTTTGCCAGTTGCCTAGTTAGACGGACGATGACGGTTGGCATTCGTAAACGAGTTTTACATGCCAGAGTCGTTCAGTGGATTTGTGTGTCTTCGCATAAATTTGCCTTGCCCCGGTACGCTTGTCTAACAGATGCGCTCGGTATGTTCTCTAGATACACATTGCGATAAATACAGATACACAAGCACACGTATATATGTTAAGTTAGATACTTTGTTATATACTCACCTCGTACCCATCGTCTCACATTGCACGCATCTTGTTTATGCAAGTGTGGATATCAACACCATCAGATACTCTACGGCATGTATCTCAACATGTTATTTCATTTTACTTTTCTACGCTTTCATAATGCGAACGAGACATGGCTCAGTTATTCTATGCAATTATTATTCTATGCCATATGCATTCCACCCAATACCACTTATAATACCACAGCACACCACACCACACCACACCACCCACCGATGATAACCAAGAACAGACAACAACCACACAGCATAAGTATTTTCAGATAAATATTTATTTTTACTCTCACTCTTCAAAAATATTTCAACTGCACACAATATTCTATACTCTTTTCTCTTTCATATAAGCATGCAAACGGCGAACTGCATTAACGCACAAATACTAGCAAATGTGCAATGATAATAAAAATTTGTCTTTACCCAATTTTAACACCAACAACAACAACATTACTCCCTCTCTCTCTTTTTGACTCTCTCATTGAACACTACTACACGTGGTTTGTTTATATTTTTCTTACCCGTCGTCTACCGTTTTGCTTTCATACTCTTTCTTTCCTATTTTTCCGGCACATAAAAAATTTCTTTTCATTTGCTCTCCTCTATATTCTCTATTGTCTTTGCAAATGCTTGCTATCCCTCTGTGCGTGTGTGTGTGTGTCTATTTCTCTTAATAGTAATGCTCATGCTCAGCTGTTGTTTTGTTTACACATTATTTTTTAGTTGAGAGCGCCAGAGTCTACGAACTCAGCTTTGAACTTTAATTTACCCGTGGTGTGTGCACTTGGACTTTGCGGTTTTGCGTGTAGAGCCACAGTCAATCATTCCTCTCCTTTTCATTTGATTTTACCTTCAACTCTGCTTTCCTCTGGTGTGCGCAGCGTTTCACCTAACACATTTGACGGTGTGCAGCATTGCTGTGCGCTTTTTTAAATTCATTATCGTTCTTTGACTGTCAAGTCCAATTTTCTATACACTACTCTATGCGCTCTCTCCCAAATAGCAAATGTCTCCTCTATGCGTTAGCTTTGTATATCGCATGTAGTCCGTATATAGTCCGTACACAGTGTGTGTGTGTGTGGTGTATGTGGTGGACCGGCGTTTTGAATTGTGCACTGCAATCGTTTATCTATTCGAGTCGTCAGCTCTTGTATGTATCTATGAGATTATGTATCTATACGCGATTTACTATTTGTGTTTATGTTTTGTAAATACACTTGAACTTGTTCGGTGTTCGACCGCACTCAGTCAGTCACATAATTTTTCATTTTATCTATGGTTTTAGTATGCAGTCAATGTAACTCTGGCATACATGCAGACATACTTACATACCTTCATACATAATAGATACAAAAATATCTATTATTGCAATTACATTATTTCGTTACATAGTCGTATTGACATAATTTTTTTTTAATAAGACATTTTGTACTTTATACTTTCTTACTAATCGTATCGAATCGAAGAGATTTACTTTTTACGAATGTGTACTTTTTTATAGATACAGTAAGTAAACCTTGAGAGATAGCACATTTGAGAGATTAAATTTATTTATTTATTTTTTTGTATTGAAGTTTCCATGTTTTATTAAAATATACTTTAATTTGTTAAAAAAGAATAAAATGAATAATAATAAATTTTAATAAATTCCATACTAAAAAGAATAGACCAATAAGAAATTTTAGGATATTTCTCAGATTGGAACTCCATATATTTCTGAAATGGTTTACCGCATAGGAATTTCTTGAAACTTTGTATTATTTCTTATATAACAATCTAACATGAGAATC